GAGCTGGTCGCAACCCGAAAAGTTTGTAAGCAGAGGCATTCGTAACCTGAGGTACCACTGTATTTCTATAGACATTCCATCAATTTCTATAACCTTTTGATTTGGTAATGACTGGAGTCCTGATCTAACCACATCTTGTAGTACAGATTATCTTCTGAAATACCTTGGATGTTGACATCTCTACTGTACAGAATTTCAGTATACTCCTTCCATCTTTGATTTTCTTTGAATCAATTACTATCGGTCTGCTGGTATCTTTCAGCATACTAATTTGAGGTTGGAATTCCCTTCTGAGTTCAGAGAACTTTTGGAAGACTTTCCTTGTTTTTCTCTGTGTGTTTTTCTCTTTGATATTTTTACAGGCGTTGTTGTAATGCTGCTTCTCGTCTCCTCTAACAGATCTTGAAAATTCTTTGTTAAGTTCCTTCCTGATATATTTGTCTTTCTTGGCTTTAGCTTCTCTTCTCTTCTTAGCAATTTCTATTTATTCTGACATCCAGTTTGCTTTCTTGTTCTCAATCTTTGGCATTTTCTTCTCACATTCATATTTAACACCTTCTTTAAGTTCATCCCACAATTCTTCTGGTTCCCGATATATGAGGTTTAGGATTCCTGACATTTTCCTAGAAAATGGCAGGTATACATGCAAGATCTTATTGTGGAAACTGGTTGGCTTTCTTCTGCTTCAGCGTAACTTGGAATTTACAAGTTTTTAGTAGTTTGTGATACTGTTCCATAGTCAGCACCTGGCCACATCTTTGCTGTTATAACTGAGTTCTTCTACCTCTTCTGCCAATAATATAGTCAGTTTGATTTCTGTATATTCAATTTGGTGATGTCAATGTATATAGATGTTGTTTTAGTTGTTTGAGGATTGTATGGCAATGAAAAAAAAATCACTGGATTGGCAGAAATTGATAAACCGTTCCTCTGCTTCATTTCAGTTTCCTAGGCCATACATATTTTCCTCCTTAATATTTCAAATTGAACTTGATAATAATACTCAAATTTCTCCTGCTTCAGTGGTTGGAACATAAATTTGGATAATGCTCGTACAGAAGGTTGTCCATGAAATCTAATTGATATTACTTGGTTACTGATTGCATTGTAGCCAGATACTGCTCTTGCTATTATACCCTTCCTAACTATGAAAGCAACACATTTCCTTCTTTCTTTTTCAAGTCCTGAGTAGAAAACAATGTGATCTTCAGACTAAAAGTATCCAATTCCAGTCCATCTCAATTCACTGATGCCTAAGATGTCAATTTGTAGTCATTTCATTTCATCTTTCACTGTTGAGCTTTCTCAGGTTCGGATTTCTTACATTCCGTATTCCCACTGTAATTCTGTCTTTGCAGCTTTGTATTTTCTTTTCCTGCATGGCAACATTGGTAACTAGATGTCCCAAAGGTTTTAATCTATCCACGTCATACTCTCTATTAGTATTCCAAAAGATCCTGAGCTCTGCCGCAGTAGCATGTTCAGTGCTATCTGACCTGAGGGACCTACCATCTGGCACTATATCACAAATCATTTTCTATTTTCTATCCATGTAGTCTTCTTGATAAAATAAAGAAGTGGTTTATCATTGCCTTGTCCTGTGCAGTATGAAATGATGCCTTTGCTGTTGTCACTGGAGTGATTGTCTTATATCACTGCTGGCCAATATGTGTGCCTGCTTGCTTCAGCTGGGCAACTGGGATGAACTTCATGCCCTGGATGACCCTGCTGGGAGAATACACACATGGTGCGCCCTCTGGCATTCTTTGCTTATCCCTCCCAGGAGCAGGCCCTAGCCGTGATGAGGCAGCACAGCAGGACTTTGGGAGGAATAAATACTACTACTTACATTTATCGGTAAGTATGACAGTATCCTTAGAGACTGGGAAATAGCAGTTATTATTCCCTGTCTAAGAAATGTAGGAGGGATGATGAAGTAAACTACAGACCTATTAACCTGCTGAGCACAATCAGGGATCACTACACCAGACATCCGTACTGGAAATTAAAGAACTGGTTTGAAATAAAATCTGCTAACTGAAGAATAGGCCAGATTCAGGGAGGGTTGATCTACCACTGACCAGTGCCTGGTGCTTCAGCATTTAACTGAGAAATAAATGTTCCATAACCTCCAGTCTCCTTGTACACAGCTTTGACAGACTTCAAACCTGTATTTGATTCCATCTTTTGAATTAAACTGTGAGAAAAATTCAAAACTTCTTTTGCTGTCTCTTATTTGCATGCTCCTAGAGGATACATCCCTAAAATCAGATGCAATCCCCAAGACCAGCATCAAGATATGCTGTAAAACAAGCTTGCATACTTATTTGGCTTCTGTGAGCATCTTGATAAATGCTATTGTAAGCCATCCAGGCAACCTGGACTACTCCTTCCAGCCAGCATCAAGTTGGCCAAAAACTTCATTTCCATCTTGCTTTCTGCAGACCACGCAGACATTCTGTCTAAATGGATTTAGAATAGCAACAAGAGCCTTGTTCAATACTGAAAGGAGGATAATCTGGAAATATCTAATCCCCATCTCTGCAGTTGCTGGCCCTCCATGACGCTGTGGAGCGGTTTTGCAAGGCTTTGGGGATGCCACGAAATGGCCTCGCAAAGCACCAGCAGTGCCACAGCCAGGTGTGCCTCATCAACAGCAGGAGGAAGAAGACACTGAAGGTCACCTGGGGGGTAGTGGGGTAGGCAGTGGTGGTGGAGTGCAGGGTGGCTGAAAGAGCAGAGATGAGGGGGAGATAGGCAGATGGGGGGAGTTGAAGCATATGGTGTGGTTGTAAATGTGGGTGGGCTGCCAAATGCCCAATTTTGATAATGTGACTGCAGGGGCAGTGCAACAGCTGTAACTTTGAGGACTGGTCGTAACTACCATTCGTTCAGCGCTGTCATAACTTCAAACAGTCACTGAATGAATAAGCGAGGAGTACCAGTATAGTGACAATGAGTGCACCATTGGGAGACTTGAAAGAATAGGTTAGGAATAGATTGTCATCGAGAAAATCTACCTATGTGGTTGCTAGGAATCAAAAACTACCTGATGGCACATAATCAATCAATCAATCAATCAAGCTTTAAATATCTGGGGGTGATCTTCCATTCCTCCAGCTTTAGGAAGGACATGGCAGTAATGTTGCCCAAAACATACCATTCTAAGTTTTCTGATCAAAAGGAGCTGCCAGCATACCTGCACCCATTAAACTATTTGAAGCAAGGTCACCGGCACACCTTCTTGATGAAGTGCAGCTGGAATCCTTTTCCAGCTTTGCCCCCTGGGAACCCTTCCAAATTTCTAAAAGCAGTAATCCAAGTACCCTCTCGGGTCATGACCATGGGGCTATGCCTGGAAACAGGCCAAATGGAAGCCAAAGCAGAGTTATCCAATTTCTGGTGAAGACTATTCTTCTCCCCAACTCTGGAGGATAGATATCAGTCAGTCTGGAAGCAAACCCAGTTGGGCAGAATGTCTGCACTTGGGCTATCCCCACCTCTGCTTATTATCCCTGGATTACAAGCAGGCCAGAATGGTTGCAGAGTGCCAAACTGACCTAGGCAGGCTTCACAGCATTCTACGTCTCAAAGTGCAAGGCACACTGCAGGCTGCTACAGCTTATTCTTTCAGCTTTTGAGATAGTACAGTAGAGCTTCTGGTTTTACAGCAGACTTTTAGCTCTCACCTCTTCATCTTGTAACTCTATAGTCACTGTCCTTAGAATTTTAAGATTTTTAATAAGGTTTTTATATTAGAGTGGTTAATTTCACAGTCTCTCTGTTTTTACCCTAGGTTGGTCATCAAAGGACCATCATCAGCATAAAAAGAAGCATAAGGATAGCATATGTAGACAATACAGGGTTTTTACAGCAGTAAACAATACCTTAATCAAAGAACTACCAACTTAGACAAACAATCAAGCAGTAAACAATAGCCTAATCTAGGAACTACCAAGGAAAAAAACAACTCCCCCACCAACAGTGACAGGGCAAGTTACTGTATATAAACAGAGCAAACTCCACTCCCTTCTAGCACTGAAGATGTTACCTAGATGGGTAATGAAATGTCTGCAAGAAAACAATAAAGCTCAGAGAACCCCAAGGACTCCACAGGGTTTTTCCTTTCTAAACCCATGGGATTTTTACATAATTATATGTCTACCTGGGTCCAGGTGGATACGAATCGTCCAAATCTATCTTGAATGCTTCTGGCTTGAAAGATGGAAATACACTATAGCACAAAGGTAAAAAAAAAAAAAAAATTTTTTTTAAAGTTATTTACAATCAAATAAAACAGTGTTTAAGGTGTTCTTTTCTTACAAAAGGTGAGAAATGCTATATAACTGATAAATTATTAGCAGGATTGTGGCAAAGTGCTAACTTACATAACACTTAAATCCTGATAATGCTCAAGATGACTCACAACAGCCCTTAGAAGCAATTACAGAAAAAAAAATGACATGATGGCCTATTGGGAGGAAGCAAGCATTGGTGAAATCCAAATTTACATCACCTGCAAAGTTAGCATTTTGCCACAATCCTGCTAATAACACTTTTGAGACCCTAGGCTTGGGCACATAGCCAGGTTTTTAAAGCCTTACGAAAGGCTAGCAGGGTCGGGGCCATCCGGAGCTCAAAGGAAGGATGTTCCAAAGGGCAGGAGCTGCTGCTAAGAAGGCCCACCTTCTGGTCCCCACCAGCCGACATTCCTTAGCTGACGGGATCCACAGCATCCCCAATCTACTAGACCGAACTGGATGGGTAGAAACTATTGGGGGAAGACAGTCCCTTAGTTAACCCGGTCCCAAGCCATGCAGGGCTTTAAAGGTGACAACCAGCACCTTGAAGTGCACCCGGAAACACACTGGTAACCAATGCAGCTCCCGTAGTAGTGGTGTTACATGTGCCGTATATCTGGCACCACTGGGACAGAGAGAGGATAGACAGATGGACAGATGAGAGTGCCAAGCCCCTTTGTATTATCCTGGGCTGGGAAAATGAACAGGGTAAATAGAAGCAAGGGCAGAGCATGGAATTCTGTTCTAACTTCAGCACCCTCCCCAGAACTGATACATACAATCTAAAGTCTCTGAAACAACCTTGCAACATCCTAACCCTTGTGCAGTCATCTCCAATCATACCTTCCCAACTTGGGCCAAGAACAGAGAAATTGATTATTTCTTTTTAAAGGGTCCAAGCAACAATAACGGTTGGTGCAGGTTCCGCAACAAAATTGTATGCAAGTTTTCTGTGAATGCAAATCTCCATCAGAATCTTCGTAAGCCTCACAGTTCTCAGAGGCACCTGAAAATTAATCAGAGCAAGAGATTATTTTAGCATAGCATATTTAGCTTTGGAAAAAAGACAGCTGAGAGGGATATGGCTGCATTGTTCATGTACCTGAAGTATCATGACACAGCAGAAATTCAAGGCCTATTCCGTCATCTCAGGACACAGAATAATTTTATTTATTCATCAAATTTATATGGCTACCCACCTCACAAGAAGCGACTCTAGGTGGCATACAGCAAATAAATAAATAAATGAATAAATAAATGAATAAATAAATAAATAAATAAAACATGCCACACACAGTCATATTAACAACAACAACAAAAAGCACCACACACACACACGAGATTCGATCAGCAATGGAACCACCTCAAAATCTTACCAGTCCCCCGGCCTGATGACCTAGCCAGGTCTTGAGGGAATTCTGGAAAATAAGTAGGGATGAAGCTGACCTCACTTTGTGGGGGAAAATGTTCCATAAGGTGGGTGCCAGAGCAGTGGTTTGAGGTTACAGGACAACAGATTCCTGAGTTGAGTGTTAGAAAAAAAATCTTAATTGAATAAGAGCAATTTGATTGTGGAATCAATTGCTGAGGAAGCTGTGTTACTACTGATGGATGCGTTCAGGCAGAGGATGGAAAGCCATCTGTTTGACACGCTTTCACCTGGATTCATAACTCCACATGGGGTTGAACTTTATTGCCAACCAATTCTATGATTCTGTATCAGTTACACCACAAATGTTTTTTCTGAGTGGATATGCTGATTATCAAGCTGTGGCCTGGCTCTTCACTCTTCACACAAAGAGTGAAGCATTGCTCCAGATGGGACTGCGAGCTCCCTTACTTCCTGTCTGCAGTTAGATAATGAAAGAGAGTTCTGGGCAAATGGTCTGAAGGTTGTCAAAGGAGTTAAAAAGAGATCAAAAGGTTGATTAAAAATAAGAGTTTTTTTTCTTGTTCTAATAAATATTCTCCTTGTAAAATCAATGTATGTTTCAGTGATAATTGTTCTGTGCTGTGCTCCCACTCCATCCATGCCCGGCATCTCTTCACCAACAGCTGGCTTCAGTCATTTTCAGGTATTTTATGGGTCTTGAGTGTAGAAGCTTGAGAATTCCCTTACTATGGAACTCACCTCACAGCAACGTAAATTCTTATTATGAAGCCCTCCCACAGCTCCAATACCATTGAGACCATAACATTATGGCTTAAACAGACTGTTTAATGTTCTACTTTTTAAAAAAAAATGAAACTATAATAGCCAATCAATATAATATTAATATTTGAGATTATTAGTATAAGGACAATCAAATAATAAGCAGATGACAATTTGGGGGGAATGTTAGCACAAAAAATATTTGAGCACAAAAAGCATACAAAGAAATCACCACCTTGCATTCTTAAATCAAAGACAGGATAGAAATCAAATCAAAAAATAAATAGGCAGTTAATAATCTATGGATAACTTAATACATTCCATTTAAGGAGGGAAATGCAAGATGTTCAGAGAGTGGCAGGGAAAACGTGGAAAAGTTTCAAGATGTGATCCATTCCACACTGTGTTTAGCTATAGCAGAAAGGAACCATAGAGGCTTTTGCCAGAAAAAGAAAACCAGAATTTTAGAGACTTCCTACTGTAGAAAAGAAGGAAAGAACTTTACAAGATGTAGCATTCACACACGTTACACAGGAGGATTTTTTGCACAGGCACAACTTCACTTGGGAATGGAGAAAGGAAGAGGCAGAAAGAGGGAAAAGTAATTACCTTTCCTTACAACTTGTATACAGACTTTTAATCCTTGTAGGTCAGTGTAATATGGATCCTCCAAAAGTTGGAGGAAGGAAGATGGGAGACCCCATCAATAGATGCTTACAAGTGTTCTTTGGCTGGGTCTGTTTGAAGTACTGGAGCTGGAGGCTCAGACAGTTCAAACAGTGAGTATTTAAACACCACTTCTTTGTCTGATTCTGGATCCACCTTATCAGGTGAAGCTAAATGGTTCTTGAAGGCTATGAAACCCAGCTTAGGAGGGCTGCTTTAGAAACACAGGAAGACAGTGCTTCCAAAGTCCAACAAGACAACATACTGGAGGGTTTAGTTCAGCTCCTATAAGGCCCAGCAACTTCTCTGAGGCTGTACTACAAATCCAACACAGTAGATGACCCTGACAGGCCTCTCATAGCTTAAGGGTCAGTGGCTGGGGTCAGGTATAGTCCATGATGGAGTGTCTGGCTCCAGATGTCCCAAACCAGTTTCTCCTCTGAGATAAGCAAAAAAGTTGGCAAATGAGGGAAAGTTCAGCTGTCCCTCTCTCCACTTCTCCTGATTTCTCCTATGCACAGAGAAGAGAAGACAAGGAGGAGAGATGGAGTTTCCTTTTCCTTTTACAGGAATTTCTGCCCTGAGGCAAAAGTACTGTTAGCTTAGGTAGTCCTATCCAGGATAAATGGACAAAAAAGATGGTCAAGACTAACAAAAGAGAGTCAGAGACAGACAAAAAAAGAGGAAAGGTTAGATCAGGTGACTGGTTTGGCTTAATGTCTTTCCTCCTTAGCCCGAATAAAAGAGCTCTGACAAGACTGATGGCCTTGAAAAGATTTTTCAGACTCCTTTTGATTACCAAACTAAGTTCCAAGGAAACCCAAATGTGAGTCCTTGAAAAGTGTAATGCCTATGGCTCTGATTAATGAAAGGAATGACCCAGGAATTGTTCATGGCTCTGGCAACACTGCCTTCCTAGATTTGCCACTGTTGTACCAAGACCTAGCAATCAGCAACGCAAGTGGAAAGAGTTATCTGCTCTTCTCAGTCTGAGTTCTGAAATGTCATCCTTGGGTCTTTTTTAAATATAACTTTTGTTCCTTGTAGTTACTAGAATTGCTGCACATAGAATTTTGCTGTGTATACAGGAGTGATAGGGACTATTGAAGGTACCCCACTTTTCTTCAAACTGGTGGTCTTTTCCAAACTAGACATACCAGCCAGACTCCTAGTGCATAAGGGTATTGATCTGACTATAGAATGGAACTCTTTCCAGCAATCAATGTTTCTGGCCTATTGGCTTAACCATAGAATTGCATATGTAATTCTATGAGCCAATAAGTGGTATAATTTAGAGGGGAAAAGGGAACTTTCTATTTGAACTTTCTATTATCTTGCATACCGACACAGAAAAGGCTGAACTGCTTAATTCCTATTTTGCACCTGTCTTTTCAGAAAAGGAAAAAGTGGTCTAACCTGTCAAAAGTCATGGCTCGGAGGTTGGGGGAGTGGGCAGAAGAGAAATGCAGGTCAAAATAGGTAAGCAATAGTTCCACCCTATGCTGTGCTGGTCCTACCGCACCTGGAATACTGTGCCCAGTTCTGGTCCCCACAATAAAAGAAAAATGCTGAGGAACTGGAAAGAGTAAAGAGAAGAGCAACAAAGATGATGAAGGGAACTGGAAGGATATTTTGGACATACATAAACCAAGGGCTAGTAGAACCAGGGAAAATCCATGTTGGATGGGATGTAACTCCCTTGCAAACTTGCTCAGTAAATAAACTTTTCTAGTGAACATGTCAGACATTGAACATAATGAACTATATTTAGGCTAATGAACTACATATGGTCCAGCTGAATGCACAGGTACATGGAAATTCAACAACATGCGAAGGTGGACTATACCAAATACAAGGAGAAAATCAAAGCATGACTGATGGATAAAAATACCAAGTCAGACATGAACTTCCATGATCAAGAACTGCCCAAGAACAGCTAGACCTCTCCCAAAATTGTCTTCAATAAATAACAATATTCTGTGACAAGATGGATGAAAACCAGTTAGTTGGAGTCCAATACTTTTATGTGAGAAAGTAGAATTTAGCAAAGTAAAGCTGTGTGTATATGTGTGTGTAGCATATGAGGGTGTTAATATTTTGCTTGCTATTTTTAGCCTGCTACTTCTCTCACTGTCTTTTCTAGCCTGGGGCATTTTTCTGGAATCCAGGTGGTACAAAACAACATTTGGTAAAGATCCGATTTCTAATTTAGATAACCCCTCTGTTTATATTACTTGGGAAAATAGTGTTGTCCAGTGACATGTACCCCCCAGTTTTTTGTGTTGAAATCAAGAAATGTAGTAAAGGGAGAACTATATTTAAGCCGTGATTCAATAAATCTATGCAGTTGTTACATTGTACACTGCTGTCTTCTGTGGTAATTACACCTGTTAGGGACAAAGATCCTGAGAGGAAAGGGGAAAGTTTCTTTGGGTTTTCTACCTCCCTAGAAAGGGCTTGGAAGCTAAATCCTATAAAAACAGTTAAAGGAACTGGGTAAGTTCAGCCTTTAAAAAGTAGGCTGGGGAGACACAAGATAAACATTCCAATACTTGAAGGACCGTCACTAGGGCTGTGGAGTCGGAGTTGGAGTCATGGAGTCAGAGTCAGAAGCAATTCTTGGGTTAGTGGAGTCGGAGTTAGTAAAAATGTACCGACTCCGACTCCTAATAAATTTAAATTGTGTATAATATAATATGTTGACATTTCCTATTACATAGATAATAATTTGATTAACCTATTTTTAAGGATATATTTTAATTTCAAGTTCTCTGCAAATTTCAAAATATAACATATTCCATGATATTTCTATTTTGTGATAGTGGCACCTTATGAAGAAAATCGCAATGGCAGATAATGTTTCAAATATGTGAAGCACAATTGAGAAAATGAATCAAGTTGACAAAGAAAGCACACAAATATTAGAAAATGAAGATCTCATTTCTGCAAGTAATCCACAAACAGTGCAAACAGAAGAGAGCAGTGAAACTCAAACTTTAGATGATATTGCTGAAGAAGCATCTAAGCTTATTACAATTCAACGTATGTGTTATGCTGTACATACACTGCAACTACCAATAAGAGATGGATTGAAAGATCATCATGCAGCTACTCTCATTGGCAAGTTGAGACAAGCAGCCTTGCAGCCAGGACCCCTAGAACAGATGCTATTCTGCAGAGACGTGTTG